AAAAAAAAAAATTTAACCAACTTGTTTTTTTAGAAACCATGTTTTGTCTTGTTTGTTTCTCTGGTCACTAACTGGTATCCAAGATTGCTGTTTGTCACTGCACAAATGTTGTTGTGTTAGTCTTGGTTGCTAAAGTCTTAATCCTATCTTTTTATCCCCTCCCCTTTCTATCATTTCCTTCAAAGTAGCTGGGCAGAGCTGGTAGAGGTGGTGCAATCTGTACTCTCAACCCTCAGGAGTCTGAGCTAGGAGGTCAAGGTCACTCTGAGCTACTAAACAAGACCCTATCTCAAAAATAAAATGATTCAACATATAAAGAATTATAAAAATTGTAAATTAAGAAGACTTGGTGATGACTTTATTAAGTCTATCAGTCCTTGATAATTCTTTTAGCATTTTGCTATGTTGAGAATGTGAAAGAAAAAAGTGGTACAAAATATATTCACAAGTAGTTTAAACGTTTTAAGCATAAAAGAACTGGTTCAAAATTAAAGAGTTTTCCAAATAATTGGTAGAGAAGAGCTACAATTTGAATAGAAACTTCTTAGTCACATGTTTAATGACTCTTCTATACTTCAAAAAAGTGTTCTTGCAGTTACTTTTTGTTGCCATAGGAACAGGTTACATTGCCTAAATATTTGGTAAAGCCTAACATTTTTTGCTTAAAATGACAGTCTCAACAATTAGATGACTAGGATTAAAGCAGAAAATGAAATCAGCCTAGTTCAAGATAAAAATATTTTGCCCAAGTCTCTTGTTTGGTTAAATTGTGAGTTCAGTCTCCCTAGGAGACACCACTGGGAGTGTCTTGGAAAGGTTACTCACTGGAACTGCCCTGCACTTTAAGGGAAATAGTGACAGGCTGACCACACAGTGAAGAAGAATTTTTGTCACAGAAAGATTGTCAGTGTTATTCATACAATTAAAATATAATATTTAAAGGAAAATGTGTGACACTGCAGGGAATCTATGTCAGAAGAACTGTAACAGCTGGTGGTGTGGCTCAGTGGTAGACAGGGTTAACATGTGGTACCCCGCCCCACCAAAAGAAAAGGAGGGGGAGAAGAGAAACAAAGCTCTGGGCAAATAAAAGAAATACAGATGTAAGAAGTTGTACTTTCATGGCATGGAGAGCTTGGAAATCTGGTACCTGAACCATATTGCTTTCATGATTTGTTTATTGATATTCTCGTTCATATATTTGGAGGATATTATTACCTAATGAAGGAATGATCACTGGATCATGCTAACATCCAGTTGAAAACATTTTTGGGGTTTGGAATGATTAATTTTCAGGATCAAACTGTCTAATTATAGGCCCTGTGTAATCGTAAAAGCAGTTCTGGAATAAGGACCAGATCTCAGTGTCAAATAAGGTAAAGGCGGCATCATCGTGATTCAGAGGTCATCCAAATTGCTTTGGGACCATGAGCATAGTCATAATCCCTAAACTCAGCTGTTGCATCTGAAAGAAAGACACAGAATACCTTCTTTGTATGTTTTACCAGAGTGTTTCATATTCAGCTTACCAAAATCCTGAGCCTAAGTCTTGTAAGCAAAGAGAAATAATAATAATAATTAAAGAAGCAGCTATGGTGCTATGAAATAGAAGGTTCCCTGTGTTCACTGCTAATCCTCCTCAGGGAGAATTTCCTTTGTT